ATTGAGTTTTAGGCACAGACAGTGCTGTCAGTTGCTGGTCTGGTTCGACCAGAAATTGGTGAAATGCGTCAAAAATATAAAAATGTGTGAAGCTTTGTTAAATATTCCTCCTAACAGTTAAGTGGAAATATTGGGCACAATCGATTTCTAACTGGATTTCAAAATATAATATATACTGTGTAGGCCGCATGATATCAAACGTTGAACTGATAACCGGTTCGTTTGGTATCTTGTAAACAAAATAAAATCAAAACATCTGGACTACCTATTCGGCAGCGCCTTAGCAGACAAAAGAAAATCAAAAATAGCTTTTTATTGTGGGATTTTGGGAAGCACTCTGAAATTTTAGCGTGTTATCTCAGTCAGTCATTAACATAAAATAAAATATTATAGTTCATTTGCTTGTTTATCATTTTCACATGCGGTTGCTTAGTCATAGTTATTGAAAATGTTTAAATATATTAACACAAAATGCTAATCAATTCAGTCATTAATTCTATTCAAATCGAGAAGTTGGTGTCTTTATGTCTTTATTTTGCATATACGAGAATTTAAGCGAAGAAATTACCATTGCTAATGGAGCAGAGTATTATCTAAGGCGTCATTTTGGTTCTATTTCTTCATGTTCGTAAATATTAAGTTAATCTTTGTCGAAGACAATAGAGAGCGTTCGCAACTGTTTAAGTGAACTTTAAATTGTCCATGCATACATACGAGTATTTTTTATAATTAAGTGTTAGTTTTATTATTATTTCGATTCGATATAGCGTTTTATGATGTCATGTTCATTTTTAGTGTACTGGACCCCGACAATTTGCATCCAATTCCAGACCATTAGCTCTCGAGACCATTCATTCGTAGCATTTATTAAATAATGCTTCTTGCATTATCCTTCTTATATTGCACTATTGCTTCTAATTCTCCCAACATTGATATCATCGCTAATAATTTAAATCAATGTTAAACGCCATTAATTTAAGCATAGTAAATAATTTATTTATTGAAAATGTGAAAGACTTTAAATATTTATGATTGTACGAAAGCCTAAGCAATCATTTTATTATTTTCATAGTTTTGAAAATTTATAATACACAAATATATTTATAAAATTTGCAATTCATACGAAGTATTGAAAATGAAGACAGTAACTAGCTATCAACGTTTCACAACTCGCTGCAAGCGACTCTTCAATGGAACCATGAAAAAGCATTGTTCTGGAAGCTATCCGTTAGATTTATTATTGAAATATGGCGGCAAGCTCATGAAACGCGGGGAGCCGTACAGTGTGTTTTACTCAGAGAGGGATCCATCTGCGTTCCTAATTGTCTTTCGCAGCAGCACTGTCTCGTATTGTGATAAGCTTAAAGTGAACAACATAAGAAGCTTTGAATGTTTTCCTAATGGTCAAGTGGTTTACAATATGACCAACTCGTATAGTCACGTCATGTGCTTGAACTATACATTTCATTTGGCTGACGATCTTGCCGCTTCCTGTGGCGTTAGGAAAATTCAGCCAAACACATTTACTGCTCTCTATTATACGAATCTGGAGGGTCGCCTAAGAGAAATATTGGAAAATGATAGAGCCTCATGTTGTGTTCCAAACAATTTCCTACTAATTTTACTCTCACTTGGCCTAGTTTTGTTCATCATATTTTGGCGGAATCGAAGTGTTTTATAAATTCAATGTAACGCTCACTTATTCAATATATGGTTCAATATGAATATGGTATGGGTGGAGAACAAAATTATTGGACTGGAACAAAATTGTCGGTCATATTGAAAATTTTCGGAATAAATGAAATTGTTGTTATTGTCCTAACACGACAATGACGGTAAATATGTGCTAACTGCTCTATATCACATGATGAAATATATCCATCAAGATTATAGCCTACTTGACATATTTTGACAGTACATTGGAGGACCTACTACAAGCTGGCGGAAAAGTCGCCGACAAATGCAGAAGGTTGCAATTACCGGCACGACCACAAATCTCATCTCATCCCCCTCATCCCCCTCATCTCCATCTGTGTCCATCACTTGTGTCGGCATGGCATTAAGAAGCTGTCAAGAGGGCTGCGTCTCGTCTTTCATGTGACAGTGGCTGTGCCCTTGACATGCCGCTGCCGCTGCCTTCCGTGCCCGACCCCAGGAGGGAACGAAGCGATGCGCACACAGATGATGAAGGCAGCCCACATGTGGTGGGTTCTCCGTGTGTACCCATTCATTAGTTTTAAAATAAATAATTGCTTTTTAACAGACGCAAAATTATCACCTAATTATAGAGTACCCTTTTGCTTTCGCTGCGGCTCTTCCTTTTAGAGGCTTGAAGGCGCGTGGCGCGTGAATGTTGACATTTGCATGCAAATTCGCCGGAGGCAGCTCCTTGCAGTAGAAGTGTTGGCAGTTCGGTTTATTGCATGCCTCACTCATCACAAGTAGTACGGGTAGTACAAGTACTGCTCGACCCAAATAGTTGTCTTTGACATGTGACTCGGACAAGCGCTCGTTTGTTCCGGCATTTCCGTTGGCCGTTTTGATTTCAAAACACTCCTAAGCATTGCCCGGGGGCATTTTTGCACTGTGTGTGTTGGTCGCATAAAATGTTATATCCTTTGTGGCAAGGATCGCAACATGTTGCTTGTCAGCAAATGTCGCATTGTTTTCCGCATCGCTCCCAACTGTAACTATTTGCGGCATTGGCATTTCAAAAAAGAACAATACGAGTACTGGTACGCATTTTTGCGTTTTGTGTCCTATTGTCTTGCTCTTTGTTCTTGCGTCCTTTAACCATTATTGCAATTTTGTAAATATTATAAAAATGTTTTATTCAAAGTCATATACATATATATACACACACACAGATAGTCGCGCTCTCACTTTACACACACTTTGCGTGCTCTTTATGCAAATTAGTTGCGAAACCGTTCACATTCCAAATGTTAATTTACATTTTTCCTTGCTCCTTGCGCTCTGTTATTTCTTGCAAAAGGAATTTTTATTTGCCTTTCGCAATTTTACATACTTGTTAACCTTTTTTCTATGAAATAGATAGCTGTACTATACTCCTATGTGGTATGTGGTTGAACTATAGTATTACCGCCCTTTCCTTTTCTCTATTCAGCGGATGAAGAAATTTCTTTCATTTGTAATGCTGCATCTATCTGAACAAGAGTTAGTTTATTTCTCTAACCTATATCCGTTTAATGTACTCGTATGTATAAGGCAGAACTTCTCAAGCTTAACATATGTATATCCAGACCAGGTTTATGTCAAATCGAACGTAGGGAACAAAATCATTCCTTTTTTTGTAGCCATATTATTTATTATAAACAAACTTTTTTTTATTTATTATAGCCAATTCGATGAGTGTCGTGGAATATCACCAATGTCGGGGGAACTACTCCCGTTTAGGGCTCATAGAATATTTATGAGCATTGTTATTCTAGCTTTTTACAAAACAAGTTTCTTGCGTTGTGCTGGCAGGCAAATGGACATGAATAGTTTTGAAAAACTGATCTGAGCTAAATCTTAAAATTACTTTTGCCAAGCATGATAAGAATTAGAAAGGGAAAAATAATGTTTTAATGTTTTAAATAAAAATTCCCAATTAAGAACTGATGAGGTACATGGATGTAAAGCATACTTTGGTGCAATTAGTTGGTTCAAGTTGTATATTCCACCTGCTGGTCCAACATTCCAGTAGGTTGAGGTACTATTTTACTCTTGCAGAAGAAAAATTATACATTGTCTGTATAGAATGCCAACAGGGCTGTGTACTCATGTTTAGAATATTTGTTTATAACTTTGGTTCATTTGATAAACATTTTTAAAAACTAAACAAATATAAATAAAACCTTTTAGTAAATTGTTAAATTAATGAGGCAGTTTTTAATGTGGTGGGAGCGATAGTTTGTTGAGCTAATAGTGTTGCGAAGACAACTGCTTATAATCTGAATGAAGTCAAGCCTGAATTAGGACATCAAAAGTGCGTAAGAATGAATTATTTATGTAAACTTTCGAGTGTTGCTTTTCTTTTAGTCACACATATGTACATATATGTATATGCCTGTCTACGTCTTTTTTCATAGTTACGAGTACGTATGGATGGGGACTACAAGTATATGTATGTGTTTGTATTTTAGTTTGTATTTATTATGCCAATCTGTCTCTTAATTGCCTCGAAATTCTATTTGGGCTTCATTCTAACGCACCTTTATTGCGGTAACACATTGCCGGGTGGCTTTAGAAAGTTTTCCCTGTTTGACTGAGGCATTGTTTGTCTATCTGGTTGGGCGTTTGTTTTCATTTTAATTAAGCTTTATTATCCAAATTAACACGTGCAAGCTACACATACGGATCAAGACCTTTCAACACAAACACCAGCTCTCACCTTAAGCTTTCCTGTGAATGTTAAATTAATATATGGAAATGAATAATTGAATGAATGAATGTGATATGTTATTTGCAGTTTTGTAAAATTAATTGCTTAAGCATTTTAGATTTGACATAAATCTTGGGCTCGTATTTAAATATAAAGGGAGGAAATGTGTAAGCGATTTGGATTAAGCATTTAAAGACGGCCAATCTTTTGGTTTAGTTCGAATGCCCGCTAATCCCCAATCATTTCTAGTTGCTTGAAATAAGTTTACTTAATTTTAACTTTCTTTTATCTCCGTTATTTTGCTCACAGCTGTAATATATCGACACAATTTCCTGCTAGAGGAACACTTAGTTTCTAAAATTTTATAGAATTTCTCAGGTAGTTGGGTTTGGAAAAATAATAGAAGTAATTAGTATAATCATCAACCAATCATTTAATTTTTTTAATGTTTATTTGTAAGTATATAATTGTATTAAAACTAGTTTATTGCTTTAAGATTGTATAAATATTAGTCAGGTATTTAGAAAATAATTTGAATACATTGGCATAAGATATCAACTCAATTTGTCTAAATTAGATATAAATTTATATATGGAGAAGCCAGTCATTACTATCACAGTGGCGGATAGGCATTCTTCGCATAGTTGGCCACATAGTAGTTGGAGGCGCCGAAAAAAGAGCCACCGGTGCCGCTTACGGGTGTGGAGCCAAAGCCGGCATAGCAATTTGCATAATTCTGGTAGCTGCGCAGTTCGAGTGGTGGAAAATTTAATGCATAAGCTCCGGATGCCCCTGCATGCGTCAGATTTGGATACTTGTGGGCGTTGGTGATGGGTGGAACCAGTTGTGGGGCCGTGTCCAGCAGTGGGCGTCCCGTACTGACGCTCCGCTCGTTTCGGCGAAATTTGGCACGTCGATTTTGAAACCAGACCTGTAAGCGGTATTGAATTCGTTAAGGTGCTAGGTGTACAAGTAGGTAGGTGTAAGGGAAAATGCCTGGGGCTCACCTGCACACGTGCCTCGCTCAGATTCACTTTGGTGGCGAGTTCCTCGCGCACAAACGCATCCGGATAGTGAGTGCGCTCGAAAACCTTCTCCAGGGCCGTCAGCTGGGCAGAGCTGAAGGTGGTCCGATTACGGCGGGGTTTGCGAGAGTGCCCGTGTCCGCCTGCGGCTAGACAGCTGCTGTTGCCGCCGCCGCTGTTGTTGTAATCGCTGGCGCCGCCTGCAATGTGAAGAGCGCACGCGGTTCGCATTTAGTAACAATTATGAAGCCGTAAAATTTATTAAAGATCTCTCGGGAGTTTCAATTGGATTTCGTGGAATGCTGCAAATGCCCCCCAGGCGTCCATACAGTATCGTAAATAATCGATGAGTGCTTTGGCAGGGAAAACGCGTTGATGATGCTCAAAAATCTATTAATTTGGCACCTCAAGAATTTGGTCGTTTTTATGGGCACGAACATAAAATTTTGCATTCTGTTTGATCCTTTTACTCGGTGTGGTTCTGTTGTTGCTGTTGTTGGCGGTAATAAACAAATGGCACGGCTATAAAATATCTTTTGACGACAATGGCAGACAGCTGTCTACTAATTTTAGTTGCCGACGCGTCGACATCATACAAGCACTTTAACGACCTATTAATTAAAGTGAAATTGTGACATTAAGAAAGATTATGCGTTTCTGTTTAACTTTCTCTAATTGATTTCGCATCTGTGGCTAGAGCTCAAAGAGCATAATTGACATTTATGGGGCAATGCAGCGAGAATAAGTATAAAATTGTTAATAAATACATAAGAGTACAAATGTATGTGAGCATCTGAAAATTACAATAAAAAATAAATTTAGAAAATGACGTTTTTCATAATTTTTCACTCTAAATTAAATAAAAGAATGCAGTACATTTAAATCCAGTTTGCAAAAAGTATTATTTGACAGAAAAGGTTTTTTTTAAGAATCTGTTTGTTCTGTATGTTTTTATAAAATAATACCTCTTTCTTCCCACATATCTGACTAAGTACATTGTATCTCCACAGAAGGCTCACATCACATTGAAACACAATTAGGCCGAAGAAGTGGATATAAAACTTTAAATTAAGAGTTTACATTGGCTATTTTGGTATTGAATTTCGTTTTTTTTACGCAATGCCTCTTTTTTAGTTACCCCTTAAAAAACGAAAACTCTTACCCACGCCATTTGTCTCAATTTGTCAGCAAAACCATTCACAGATTTCGTCGTAGATCACCGTGCAGTTGAGTGTTCCTTCAGGCGTGCAAGCAACTGGAATGCCCCAGAGATAACTCCATAAAAACAAGAAGGAAAGATCTTTAATTTGAATTGCCACTGGATCCGAATCGAACGATAAAAAATCAGTTGTATGAGTAGCTTGATAAAAAACTGCAACTGAAATCGAAAGGGCGGCAGGGAGTGAGGGAGGGAGGGAGTGAGGGAGGGACGGAGGTTAGCCTCAATCAGATACTCGTATCTGTGCAATGCACGCGGATGTGAAGGAATAGGAATAGGGTAAACGGCACATGTTACAATCCGTTGCAACGCATCCACAGCGACGAAAATAAATACACGCCCAAGCGATTTACTGCACCAGCGGGAAATGGGCTGATGGACGGGCCTGCTGTCTGACTGACTGCCTCGGTAGCTGGTTACATGTATGCTGTCTTGGTTTTTTATGCTCCACTTGGAAAATATAGGCGCACGGTCGACGTTTCGGCTGTTCAAAGGCATGCGGCCTCTGAGGGAATATCATGTCAGCTTTGATTACGTTTTGTCATGTTGACAATGTTGAAGTTGTCTGGTCGTGGTCGTGGTCGGAAATGCAGAACTAGCGCAAAGAAATGAAAAGAGTAGAAAGTACCAGAATTTTGTACTTGAAATTGGCTCCGAAATTCATACAAAACGTTTTCATTCAAGTCGATACTATATGCTACGTACGGCAGCAATGACAATGATGTGAATGCAACTTCATATCTCATAACGAATTAGAGCGTTGATTACACGTACAACAAGCACTATTGCAACAAGAAGCAACAAACGAAGCCGCAACAGAGAGACGACATGTCGCCTATTGGGGTCTAATGTTGACAAGGGAAGCGCTCTTTAATGCTGACAGCCGAGTCGGCCTGGATCATACCGAGTCTCGTACCCCGAGCTCCAAGTTCCTTCCTTATACCGCATAGCCCATATCCCCATTTTACCGCAACCGCAACAGCAAAAATGCATGAAGATGACACTGTCATCCATTTGAGCGCAATTGGTGGCGTCAGAAATGAGCGTGTGTCGCCCACATATGGCACCTAAATGTCATGCATGAGTTTCGCATGCAACGCGAGAGTACGTCTGTACATATGTACTTGTATGTGGGTTTGTGTGCACTTTCATATACATACTCGCACATACTCGTATGCACTTGTCTATTCATGTGTGTGCGCATAATGCCATAAATTTTCAACTCATTTCAAATTAATTTATCATTCGAGTAAACACTGCAAATATCGTGCTTCACAGCAGCCCCGAACGAGTATGGGTAAGTGACAGATTCTTCAAATTAAGGTTGAAATTTTCAAATTACGAATGTGCTGCGCTTAGTTTTCTCTTCAAAGAAATTGTGCCATAGCATTTTTTTAAGTAATTACCCAGAATATATATTTAAGCTAGTCGAACCATTTAATTACGCCTCGTAGACTTGCTTGGTGAAGTCCTTACAAATCACAATCACAAACGATTTAAAAATATAATCAGTTTCTAGAAAAAATAAGCCGAGAGACCTGTTATTTGAATTTAAATATTTGTAGCCCACTTCATCCATTCATGGGACCATACATACTACTCACTGTTAGAAATAAAAATATTATTATATGAACCTCGTAGTATTATCTTTTAAAAATGATATAAATGATTGTTTTAGCTTACTCCATTTGAGTTATGAACAATAAAAGCTGTTAATTGCATTTAATGGGCCGGCCCCTTAGAGACACTGAATAGAAACTGCTCTTATTTACAGCTATTATTTACCCTGCGACATGCGAGTAAATTAAAATAATTATGTACAGAGAGATAAAATATACAAATCTATCATTTTATGTGTCTATGAGTTCATTTGATTGTCTTTCTAGCGTTCAAAATAAATGTGTATTCCCTGTACCCAAAGGGTATATTTGTAGTTCAGCGGAAATAAATATATGCAATATACAGAATCAGGAGGCATGATACAGAATATATACTTGTATATGAACAGTATGACAAGATGAGTCGATATAGCTATATCCGTCCAGCTCTAAGAGTGCAAGGATGTTCGAAAATATAAGAAGCAGAATACTTGTTTTTTGTTGTTGTCTATCTTTCCAGTCTTTGTCTAAAACATTGTGAATATTACAAATGAAATTCTTAAATATATATTTTACCATTTTACTATTAGGTTCAGACATTACGACCATATATAGTACAAGTACATTTACGAGTAAATGTCATTCATGGTAAAATAATGTGTCGACATTATCCTCATTAAATCAAATCATAAAAAAACCGAATATCTGTTTGATAAAATCTCTATTTTGAAAAAAGTTGATTTTTTGTTAGCTGTAAGGAACTGATTAGCCAGCTAAATACGTAAGCCTAAAAGTAACACCTTCATTAAATTATTAAAGTTAGCAAAATAAAAATATAAACTTGGAAATGACATAAGATAACTTACAAGAATAATGTGTTTTGGTATAGTATTGCTGTGTTACTTGAGCTGCTCTCAAAATTAAGAACACCGCTTAAATAAGGCGTTTTCAAAATGAAAGAACTTTTCGAAATGTTAAATCACCGTCGTGGATATTTTGTTTAATTTTAAATACCGAGAGCGATCTGCATATTTTATTTAAGATAAATTAAGACCACCATATCAGTAACACTTGTATTCTGGGACCTCTAACAAATAAATAGTTTTAATTGCGGACAAAAATGATCATCACTTTCACGTTGCAAGATTGGATTATCATTTTTGATATAATTGGTAACGGATTTTAGTAACAAAGATACGCAGAACTATTAGCGAGAAAATAAAGAAATTTTGGAATTTTTCTCAGCAAATATTTGGCCAAATATCAAGAACAATGAATATGTACTTTACATTTCATAAGAATCTTAATGATGTTAATTAGGGATTCATGAATCAGTTTAGCTTTTTTAAATTGTATTTTTTAAAATATGATTTAATTTCTATTGCTTGTTCTATTTCTTACCAAAATTGTTATTCAATTCCATTTGTAGTTTGTTTTTCACATAGGCATCCTGTTTGAGCTCAATGAGGTTCCCTACCGAGAAACGATGCATCTTATCTAGATCTCGTACATTTGAAGTGCTTCCAAGCTTATCCTTTGCGTAAGCTGCATCAAGGGCAGTATCCTCTACTTGCGTTGGAGAATACGAGGATACATTCGATTCACCTGCATTGATGGCTAGGGAGTGTAAAGATGTGCTCGATGGTGGGGCCGTCGGCGCCGAGGCGTAGTAAAAGCTGCTGCCATTGCTGCCCAAACTGCCGACGGGCAGAGCATGCTGATAGTTTAACATATTTGGTGACACACTCACACACTGACTGAGGTGTACACTCGTCACTGCTCTTAATGAAATTCGTGCAATCAATTTACGCGCACAATTGGCTAATTGAACAATTGGGCCAAGAGGACGACGCTTGCGGGGCTGGCCAGACACAATTCAATTAACCATGTGAAACACTGCAAGTCAAAACCTTCGAAATTCTTCATTTGTCTGCGACGAGCGACAAGCAATGAGCAGCGAACGCGTCTAATTTGACGCTGATTGAATTAATTTCTTTTCTCTGGCCGCTAGCATCCTGCGAACTTGGTAATTAGATTAGCACAGAACACATAAACGAGTTAATTACGATAATTGTCGCCGCGATACTAAACCGTGCCAAAGTCGTGTGCCTACTGAAATTAGCCTCAAAATCCGATCGCGCCAGGGCAATGTTGGCGCTGCCATCGCGCGATCCCTCGCATGATCCATCACATGCATTGCATATAGTCGCGCATATATATGAGCACTCGTTCCCACTCTCGCTCATGCTCTTGATCTAACTCTCTCCCTTCATCGCACAGATGGCAGCGATCGGCTAATTATAGCAAGATGCTGCTGATTGGTGGCCAACGATCCGCAGCGCCGACATTTTGTGGGCGTTGCTGGAAAATGCTCTCTTCTTGCTGTTTCTACTGTTGTTTTTCCGGCTGGTCTGCATGAAATACGAGGTGAAAAGTATCAACAAGTTTTGGGCATTTAAGTAGCAATAAATACCAATTAAGCGGTGCTGCCTACTTTATCCTGTAGCTGTCAACACACAAACACACACATACAAACACACTCGCATTCATCTTGAGCTCGAGTTGTGCTCGCACATGTGTTTATGTTTATGTTCCATTTTCGCAGGACACTTAAGTATGAGCCAGGCATAAATCTAGCCACGCATATTGCTTGTCATGCTCTGAACTAATTTCCATAACCACAACATGTTGTTAATTCTGGAGGAGGTGGAACTGCACGGCTTTGGCAGAGCAGTGTCGTGCAAGGATGCTGTCATTGTCATTCTGGGTCCTGCATCTGCGCGTGCAGACGGGCGTGAGTGCTCGAGAAAACGCACACATGTTTAAATAAGTACATACACACACACACATACTCATGCAGATACAACTATCGGACAAACAAAACGTTGTGTAGGTAGGTGTAGTTGGGATTAAACCGTTGTGAGAGTGGTTAGATAATTGATATGCAGATTCATGCTGCACAAGCTATATACCCGTACTTAATCGTTGATTGTTCTGCCCACACACGCACACAAATATAACAATATTCCGCAGGTCGCGTTAAGAACAAACTGTTTATTTAAATTGTTAAATGTAGGAAAAATTGAAAATGTAAAGCAATTGCCCTATTTCTTAGAGTATAAAAATAATATTTTTTGAAAAACTAGATCAATGAAGCCGAAAGAATATTTGACAAGGAATTTCTTTGTTTGTTTTATTTACAATCATCTCTTTATAAAGACACTTTCTTAGTTTCTGAAAACGAAAATATATTCTCTGTATATGTACCAAGATAAACAATACAAATTTGATGAATACTAATAAGTTAAATTAAATTGATTTATTAATAATTACTCATTTCAATAATAGTTTTAAAATATAAAAAATTGAATTCAAGCTATTAAAATTAATAATTGTTTTAATGCATTTTAATGTAAATCTCATAAATGTGTACTACAGAATAATGTTCTTATAGTATTCAATTCACATTCTAAAAATGTGTGATATATTTGATTTATATAAGCCTGACATTGCCGATGTTTTAAAGCAGAAAAGAGCATTAGACCATAGGTATATCTCGTAAGCATGTCCATATACATATATAGTATGTAGGTAGAGTCAGTTGAAGCAAAAGAGGCATAATTTCTGCAGTAATCAAGAAATTGTTGTATGTATGTATGTATGCATATAAATAAATGTACATACAAGTACATAAATAAGAACATGTAATGCAACATTAATGCTACATGGAGTTGTGTTTAGTTCTTTATTTCGCATTGCATATTTTCAGGCGCAATGTGAAATATTTGACTTACGTAACTGATATTGTACAAGTACTACTTACTATATAACGACCTTACATCCCGTATATGTTTTTCAATCATATTCTATACTTATGCTTTAAAGGGAACAATTTTGTGCGACTTATGAAATTATTAAGATGTTGTTCTCTCTTATGCCAACTGCATTTGCCTTTTGCCATCTGACAACATTAAAACTGTCTACCCAAATTCGAAGTTGTTGAAGAATTTATGTAGGTTCTCTGCTCTCTCTCTCTCTCTCTCTCTCTCTTAACTAAAGTTTGTCCTGCCCAGACACACGCAAACATACTATACATACCTACGTAATATGTAACCATATTACAAGTACTAGCACATGATAACCCAAACGACTGTCGAGCGCGAGCAGTGTTTCGTGACAAAGAATTTCAAAACTAAAAACAGAAGAAAAATGCCAGAGACATAGTAAAGTGTAGTAGCAGCAAAAACTTTGAAGTTTTATTAAAAATACACACCGCAACATTCCTCAAAAAGTTTGCACACGAAAACGTGAGATAATTTAAGACACCATGCCAAGCCAACAAGCCAAGGGAGAAAGGAGCACGTGAACCGCAGCAGAGTGTCAAGTAGTTGGATAAACTTTTGTGACGGCTCAATTTGAAGGAAACGTACAAGTATGAGCGTGCGAGCATGTCACTTGGAATATTAGAATATTAGTAGTTTTGCCTTTTAGTGGCTTGTAATGAGCATACAGGAGCAGGCGCAATAGCGGAAAAGCAATAGCTAATGAGAGCAAGGACGCCATGTGAGAAAAGTCTAAGATTCTTGGTAAGCGCATACATAGTTTCCCAAAGATGTAGCAATACTTGTATATTATGCTGCCGTTCAATTGCAGAGACATTTGAATTGTAATTATAAAATGTGTATTTAAATATGTGTATTTATCTATGCAATCATTTGGGAACGATGGGCTTTTTATAGAAATAAATATAAATAGCTCTAATGTCAAATTTATTTAAAACAAAAAGATAATGCTTTTATAAAATTATTTAAAATTCGACGTTAGGATTAGAGGGCAAAGATTGTTTTCGATTTGTGTGCCACAAAATGAAAATGTTTCACTTAAATCAATTTTAATTTTGTCACAATTAAAGGCCACTTCATTACGCTGCCGCACCTGTTAAGTGCCAATAAAAGCACACATGTGAAACATACATACATATATATGTACGTATAAGTATGTATGTAGCATGAAATTTCCATAGCATTTCAATTTCCTTGACATGCCAAACTTTTGCAAAGCCAAAAACACAAGAAGCAACAATTACGGTAGAAGCGTGCCGGGGAGCGTGTTTTTTCAATGTGCCTTTGAAGTTCATGTTGTTTGTCAAGAAAATGAATTTCACTTGACGGCGATTATGTGGTAACCAGGCGGCAAGGCAGCAAACTTGCTGCAAAAGTTTTGTAAAACATTTCCGATGTTTCAAATACAACACACAAACATACAAACAAACATACACACACATCGCTACACCACATCACCCACGCTCCTCTCCGGCAAGTGCCAAACACGACAGTGTACACTGTAGAGCGACGAGGGCTGAAGGCTGCAGGCAGAAGGGTGAAAAGTTTTGCCTAAATCACTTAACAGAAAACAAGTGTTGGCATGTTCCGCTGCTCAGCACGCAAAAATATCGCAAACTTGTTCGCTTTTAAATGAAAAGTTTTGTGTTTTTTCGAGAGCGAACGTTTTATAAGCGAGTGAAAATAATAAACCATAACTGGCATGCCGACAAGCGCAATGAAATGTAATAACAAGAAATAACCGGAAGCAATGAACAGGAAGCGGTGCCATGTTGAACGGTCCAAAATCAATTACATGCACATCTCTCAAGCCTCCTCACATACTGGCTGACATAGTTATTGTATACGTACCACTATATGGATAGCATTATACTATACGAGTATAGCAGGGCCAACGTTGAAAAAGGATTTACATTAATTACGTTGCCATGCCATGGGCGAAAAAGCTTTTTGACTTTTATTGTGACATAGGCTCGCAACTATAAACGCATGAATATTTCATTCCCCATGGCCGGCCACTTTGTCTTGGCATGGCTGAAGCGAATTTTAAAAGCATGTTAAGGGCCTGCCCAGACATCCATTTACGCAGCTAGTGACCTGCTCAGTGCACCCATACACACACCCCCACACGCACACACAGGATATTGAGTTGGGTCACTTCGGCGCAGGATGCCTCTCCAGCGTTTTTAGATACAGCTACTCGAACTTTTACTGGCCTTTCCCTTTCTCCTTGAATGGGCGACCATGCGAAACGAGTTCTTCGTTCGATTTTGAAATCCCTTGCATAATTTATGAATGTTTGAGTTTAAATCTGTGAGCCGCTTTGCATTTCTCGGCCATTTATTGAACAGTCAGTCCAGTCAGTGGCTCGGCTTCTTTGCCTGTCCTCTGTCCGTTGGTCTGTCACTTATATTGCTGCTATTGCTGCGACATTGTCGTCGTCAGCCATTGAATATTTATCCGTTTGATTCGTGCCGTGATTCGTAGGGTCTGCTGGCTCGTTATGCGTGCCTCTGCTCACAAGTTGATCGAAATTGAAAATGTGCCATCATCGCAAATTTTATGCAAATCGATGCAGGCGGCCTAGACTTTATACTGCGGCCAGCAACAGCTGTCCAGTTGTCCAGCAATAGCAATAATGTGTAATGACAGCAACTGCTTATGGGGCCAATGACATTTTCAGATTTAAATGTGCGCTTATACTTGTAGGAAAAACAAAACAAAAACAAAGCACTAGTTTTTTTTTCATGTGGAATAAAGTAGTAGTTATCGATAGATAAATAGCTAACATTTTTATACTCCAAAAAGTAAGAAAACATCTAATACTTACATTTCCTCTAAAACGGACTTTATTTTAACCCGCAGCATTTTTTGTTTGTCTCTAACCAGG